GGCACGGTCACACGGTGACAAACCACCTGCGGAGGCAGCGCAGAGATCGCTTCTTCTGGCCTGCTGGGACAACACAGGTACAAGTCAGTTCCCTTCCTCACAATATGTGCAGCACTTAAGCAGCTTTTATTTTAGAAACAAAATCACTCGAAGAATTTGAAGTGGAAAATATCTCCCTTTTCTTCAGAATGCATAACAGACTCCATTGTACTTCTAAATCCAGTCCAGCATTAATGAAGTGTAAGGCTGTGTGGTATCAATGCACATTATTTAACCATTCTATTAAATAGATCCAAGTAAGACTAAGGAAACACAGCTCAGACCCATACTGGTGTCAAACCCTCTAGTTGCATCCCACTGTTACATTTCCCAGAAATCTGCATCACAGACAGGGCTGGAACAGAGCCTGCAGCACCATGCCCTGCTCAATTTAATGATGAAGAGTTCAGAAGTTATTATCTAACTCTAATTCTGTTAGAGATGATCTTCAGCCCTGCTGTACTGGCACTCCATATGACTGGACCTTTACACAGGTAAGATGAGAAGCATCCCTAGAAGGAATTCATCAGATGTTATCACCCTTAAACTTTTGGTTTAACCAGGAAAACCATGGTGTGACACAGTATTGTTATTTATTGTGAGAAAGGCAATTGCATCTTCATCACAAATATTCTCTCTTCTAGATGAATTCTGCATAGCAAAAGTGCATTTAAGGATAGAAAACCAATCAACTGCCCCCACCTATCAATGCCCATTCTCACTGTAACACCAGTGGGCTCTGGCACAGTATCAGGGTTCCAGCTGCACCTCAGGGTGGAAAGGACACGCTCTGAAGTAATCCAACCCCAGCTCCAAACAACACAGGCAGGAATCTGGTACACAAAGTTCAGTAAATTCATCAGGGTGTCTTTTTCAATTTTATCACCTCTCAACAATCTGGGGAGGATGGAGGCTGACAAACCAGAGGAATTCATCAATTTGCAGTGGAGCTCAGGGAAGCCTTAGCAGCAAATGATGATCTTGTTTTCTCATAGTGCACAACAAAGATTGTTTACAACATGCAGAGTGAAGTACCCACAGCAATTGCTCCACACCAGATGCACTTCTGCTTATAAAAGAAAAAAGCTGTGCAATTCTTATTTGGAATTCTTCTAAGATTCGGCATCTTGTTACTAAGAGTAATAAAACTGGAAGCCAGAAAAGTCAGATGTTTGTAATCAGGACAAAACTGTAATAGTTCCAGAGAAGTTCAAATGCAATGCACTTCTGGTTTCTTGTTATCAAAAATACCATATGAATTTCATAGAGATTTATACCTAAAAATTCCAATAAAAAGCACACTGGAGTACAACAGCATTTACTGGACAGCAGGACAACTTCTCCTAAAGAAAAATGCCTCCAATATCCTGTGTATTATCCAAGCTCCTCTTCCAGAGTTAACAGAGCCTCCCAATTTGTCCCCCATATCCACATATTCCACACCCATACCTATAGTTAAGAATCCATAAATTTGTGTTTTATTAAGATGGGAAGGACAACACCAAACAGATTTCCACAGAGGCATTAGAGCTCCATCAGTTTCATGCATTACTTGCATGTGCCTTCCCCATTCTTTCCAAAGCACAGCTGCAGAATTCCACCAAGGAATGCTTACAAAGAGGTTTCAGGACTTGCAGTGTCTTATTTTAAAAAAATAATAATCATATTTTACCATATTTTTGTAACAGCCAGCACCAGTAATTAGCTAAAAAAGATAATTAGTGTAAAGTCCTACTTTAAGGCAGAACTTGCCATTCCTCTGACAGGATCTTTGATGGTGCATGACAGAGGTTCAATATGAGGGATCAGCTTCCACAGAAGCAAAGTTAATATTAACAGACTGCACACAGTAGTAAAAGCAAGCAAGATCTGAGGAACTGAGTCCAAATAAAATGAACGTGTCCATGTCAGGTAATTTAAACAGAAGATAACTCAGTGCTACTGACCCTCCCTTGTGCCTTATCCAGGATTAACAGAAATGCTGATTTTAAGGAATTTAGAAATAACTACACAAGTTAAGAGCAATCCACCTCTGCTTTGTATAGTTTGGAAATTCTCATATTTCAGCTGGTTTATTAATTGATAAAGCACAGCAGCCTGCTAAACATGAGTCACCACAGTAACAATTGCAGAAGGTGTTTCCAGGCATACCAAGAAAACATTGCCAAAGAGGAAAAAAAGATTAAAACCCTCTAGACAAGGCCATAAAATAAAGTTCATCTGATGAGCTCTACAGCTTCATCTATAAAGAAATAATTCCTTTGGGGGCAATTCATTTAAACCTATCTAAATAAATTACTATTAAACAGAATAACTATGCCCATAAAGCAAGTTACAGAAGGCTAATATTAACTTTCATCCTCACACATGAATAAAACAATAAATAACATGTTCACACACACAGATTCCTAGTAAAAACAAAGTGACCAAAAAAACAAAAATAGAAACTGCAATCTTAAGTATAGGAACAGCTGGAAAAATGAGATTTGTAGCTTTAAAATCAGAAAGTGCTTCTTCAGTTTTATCTCATGTAGACAGCTGCACATCTGCACACATGTGGGTGACAGATTGAACACATTCTGCATCATTCACTCTCCTGACAGATTCCTAGCCGGCTTTTCCTCAACAGCAACCAGAGCTACAAAGGTTATCCTGTTAAAATGTAGCAACAGGAGAACTTTAAACAGGCACAGGGTAAGTTTAAAGAGATCCAGGAGAAAAAAAAAATCCTTCCCTGCGCGGGTGGGGATGCCCAGAACAGCTGTGGCTGCCCCTGGATCCCTGGAAGCGTCCCTGGACAGGGCTTGGAGCCCTCTGGGCCAGTGGAAGGTGTCCCTGCCATGGCAGGGGATGGAATTTGATGATTTTTAAGGTCCCTTCCAACCCAAACCAGCCCGTGACTCCATCGAAACAGCTCTTTGGGAACCGCAAGCCCAAAGCGTTCCGGTTTATTCCGACAGGAGCCCGGCTGCCGGTTCTCCAGCTCCGGGAGCCGCACTCCTGAGTCAGCACCAGTTGCACCGACCTGGGGCACCTGAGAGCCGCAAACACAGCCCTGCCCCGGGCCCGGCGCT